GAGAGAAGGAGAAGGCCCGGCGGGGTGGGGGCGGAGGGGGAGAAGCTGCGGAGGCGGCGGGAGCAGCAGGGAGAGCGGGAGCTGCAGTGGCAGCCGCAGGGGCGTGGGGTGGGGAAGGAGAGGAGGAGGCAGGGGACGGGGCGATTGGAGAGGGTCGAGACTGTGCCCCATCGAAGCTGCGGCAGGCTGCTGGCCGAGGAAGGAGAAAGGATGAGGGGAGGGGAGGAGGCGGAAAAGGCCAAGGAGGGAGGGAGGGAGGAGGGAGGGAGGATGGAGGGGGGAGGGAAGGAGGAGGGAAGAGAAAGGAAGGGAGGAGGAAGGTGGTGGGGATGGAGAAGGCAGGAAGTAGTAGGAGGAGGAGAAAGAGGAGGAGGAAGAGGAGGAGGAGCAGCAGCAGGAGGACATAGGGATGAGGAAGAGGAGGAAGGATGGAGAGAGGAGGGAGGACGAAGCAGGGAGGGTGGGAGGGAGGAGAAGGAGCAGGAGGAGGGAGAGAGGAGGGACGAGGAAGCAGGGAAGAGAAGAGAGGGCGACAAGGAGGGAGGGACGGAGGGAGGGAGAGAGGAGGTAGGAAGGAGGTAGGGCAGAGGAAGAGGAGGGAGGGAGGATGAGGAGGGAGGGAAGAGGCAGGAGCAAGCAGGGAGGAAGGGCGAGAGAACGGAAATGAGAGAGGAAGGGAGGGAGGGAGGAGTAGGAGGAGGTGGGGAGGAGGTAGGAAGGAGGAGGAGGACGAGTGTAAACCCAAGACGCACAAACGATGTTGCAAGAAACCCTCTCTCCAAGTTTCCTCGTCATAGGTCCCTACTTGAATGAGTGTGCATTGCGGGACATGTCCCATCGGAAGACGACGGCGCGAGCCTCCTGAGCAGTACCAAGGCACCATTCCTGGGACGTAGGGCGGAGAACCAACATGCTTGCTACGCCAATACAATCCTAAGTCTTGCAAGAGCACCCTTCCTTGGGCTTCAACACCACGTATCCACATGACTGTTGCGCCCTGACAGTCCTGAATCGCTCCACAATGCCTTTCCTGAGACTTCAAATACACGAACCCTTGAAACTGGTACGAGCTGTTAAAACGAACGCGCGCGGCGCCAAGGCGAGAGCCACATGTTGAAAAGGAGCCACCTCCTGCTTTGAACCAGCTACGAACATGAAAGACGAATGAGCGCGGCGCTCAGGCAAGAGTCAACTTCTGGCAAGGAACCGCCCTCCATCTTGAAAACTGCTGCAAACTTCTAAAATCGAAGGTGCGCGGTGCTGAAGCGAGAACCACAGCTTGGAAAGGAACCACCCTCCATCTTTGAAGATGTTGGGACGATGTAAGACGAATGTGCGAGGCGATAAAGCGAGAGCCACGTCTAAAAAACAGCCCGCACTCAATAGTTCAACTGTTCCCAGCTTTCACAACGAGGGCGAGCTAAGGCGACAACCACATTGTGACAAGTACCAGCCCTCCATCCCAGAAGCTGTTGCAACTTTCAAACTTCGGTGTCGCAAATGGTGCGGTCTCTGGCGAAACGCTCCACACGTCTCGGGGTGCGACACGGAGAAATGATTTCTAAGGAAAAGGGATGGAGGTAGGCATGGAGAGGGGGGGGAGAAGGAGGACGGGGAGAAGGGAGGAGGGAGAGCGGCCGGAGGAGAAAGCAGGGAAGGAGGGAGGGAGGAGAAAGGCAGGAGGAAGAGGTAGGGATGAGGTAGGAAGGAGGACCAGCGTAAACCCACGATGCATCAACGATGCTGCAACAAGGGAGAGAAGCAGGACGAGGAGGAAAAGAAGGGAGGTGGGAGGAAGCAGGGACGAAGGAGGGGAGGGAAAGAGGGATGGAGGCCGAGGAGGAGGAGGAGGAGAAAGAGGAGGAGGAGGCGAGGGAGGGGGCAGAGACGAGGGGGCAGGGCTTGCCCAGCAGAGCTGCCGATGGTCTGGCGGACGGAGACGCGGACCGCCGCTCCCCCGGCCGCCGCCTGCTGGCCCGCCTCGGCCCTCCCCTCCTCCGGCGACAGGAGGGGGGCGGGAGCAGGACGGAGAGAGAGAGAGAGAGAGAGAGGGAGAGAGAGAGAGGCAGGCTCGGGCGAGAGGAAAGGACGAGGGAGGGAGGGAGGGAGGAGGGAGGGAGAGAGGAAGGAAGGAGGGAGGAGGGAGGAGGGAGGAGGGAGCGGGAAGGAGAGAGCAGGGAGGAGGGAGGGAGGCAGCGGCAGGCGCCCAGGAGCCTCGGGCCAGCGAGGAGCCGGGCGCCTCGGCGCGCGGCGTGCATGGCACAGCGCGCCAGCGCGCCGCCCGGCGGCGCGCCGCGAGGCGGCCCAGGCTCTGCGCACAAAGGGGGGGGCCTGGCGGGGGGCGCGGCCCGCGGGCCCGGGGCCGCGGCGCAGGCCCCGCGGGCTCGAGGAGGCAGCGCGCGCTCCTCCGTCGGTGCGCCGGACACGCGGCGAGTCTGAGCAGTGCTGGTGCTGGTGCTTAATAGGCCGCCGCCGCCGGGTGGGGGAGGCGCCGTGCCGACGCCGAGCGCGTCCGCCGCCGCCGCCAGCCTCCGCCGCCGTCCGCCTGGGGCGCGCCTCGTGCACGACGCCGCCGTCCGCCGCCGCCGCCTCGTGTGTCTGGGCCAGGGCCTGGGCCCGGGTCGCCGGGGGCTGGTCCGCCGCCGCCTGGTCCTGGTCCAGGGCCGGGGCGGGGCCGGGGCAATCGGCAGTGGGGCCGGGGCCGGGGCTCGAGGCCGGGGCAGGGGGCAGGGGAAGGGAGAGGACGAAGCCGCGCGCGCACATACACGCCGCCCCAGATCAGCCGAACGACAGATGCGACCGCCCGACGGGGCAGGGCACCGCGGGGGCGGGGCCGGGGAAGGGGGGGCAGGGGGAAGGGCACAGAAGAGCACCGCAGAAGAAGCCGATGCTGCAGAAGCATTACTACAGCATTAGCAGACAGAAGCAGTCGACGAAGGCAGTGACTTTAGACGGAGGAAGAAGGAGGAAGGCAGGCCAGACGCAGAGCGCAGAGAACGCAGCAAACAGACACGAAGCAGCCCGTAGGCCTACCACTCCGCCGCTCCGCCGCCGCCCTGCACTCCGCCTCCGCCTCCGACCTCCTGCCTCCGCCTCTCCCTCCTCCTCCTCCTGTTCCTCCTCCTCCTCCTTCTCCTCCTCCTCTTCCTCCTCCTCCTCCTCCAATTCTTCCTCCTCATCCTCTTCCCCCTCCTCCTCCTCTTCCACCACCTCGACCTCCACCTCCTCCTCCTCCTCCCCCTCCTCCTCCCATCGCCAGCTGGTCCCTTGATGACTCGAAATAGCGGCGAGGGGCAGGAGCGGATGCTGTCGAGCAGGTTTCCGCACCCGCATCCTTGCTCCACATGATACACTGCTGATATCGATATGGCAGAAGTCCAAATGCAATGGGTGAGCAATTCCAGAAAGACAGAGGGGGCCCTCTTATCCAGCCAGGGTGCCGCTGGCAATGAAGACTCTGGCGACGCGACGAGGGAGGCAAGCAGGAGCGAGAGGGGATGAAAGGGCGAGGGAAGGGCGAGGGAGGGGCGAGAGAGGGGCGAGGAGGCAGGGGGGAATCGAGCGGGCAGGGCGGGCCTCCGTCGCTGTCGTCGTCCCCATCCCCCCTTCCCCTCGCTCTCCTGTGGCACCTGCCTGCTGCTTCTGCTGTGGAGCACCGTCCATCCCCCGGCGCCTGGCGTTGGCCAGGCGTGGAGGGTGGTAGGGCATCGAGTGCTGCCCTCACCTGCCAGGCTGTAGTACTGTTAGGAAGGCAGAAAATCCACCCCGAGAATGACCACCCCGACACGCGAAGCCGTTTAGTAAACGCACCCGAAGAAGGAACCAACCAGGGCAGGGCTGTTAAGAAAACGCCGGGGCCGTTTATTAAACGCAAATTGTCGGGTCCGGGCGCTTTTTCATGCCTTGAACTATGACCATAGTGATACGAACAAGTGAGAATAGTGACAGTGACCATAGTGACCAAGTGAGTGAGTGGTAATAGTGAACTATGACCATAGCGATACCATGCCAGAGTGATACTTGAACTATGACCACAGTGCACAGTGATAATCATAGGCCTCACAAGAGGCAGTCGAAGGGCCACACCGAGTTCTGGGACACGACTGACGGATGGCCGTGGCGCGCCGCCCGCGGGCGGAAGGCTCTGGGCAACGTGTGGGGGGGGGGGCTGGCTCAGGGGAAGGAAACACCGAGCTGGAATCGGCGATACATCGCCGATGGATCGGCAACGATTGGGGGGAACGAAAGGGGGGGATAGCACAGGGCGTGGTAGAGAATCAACTCACGTGGCTGATTTTCCCAGCGCCTCCCGGCGCCGGGAGGCGCCCATGCATCGAGGAATGGGCCCGGCGGCGGGGCCGAAACCAGCTGCATGCAGCAGAGTTCGTAAGCCCCTCTTTCCCTATCCCCCCCCCCTTCCGTTCGGCCCGAAACGAGGCCCCGAGAGCTTACGCGCACGCACCTGGGCGGAGTCGGGCTACCAGGGCCCCGAATGGCCATGAGTGGGCGAGAGGGGATCGAGGCGCCCCCCCCCTCTGAGCCTACCGCTGTCCCTGGCGGCGTTTGGGTCTTAACTCGGGTGTCTGGCGGCAGTTCGGGACGATCCGGGCACTCCCAGAACGCCATCGGCGAGGCGCAGCTGCTGGCCCTGGCTAGAGGCCTCCCACATGGGGTCCGAAGAGATGGGACCGGAAGAACCCGCCACATCGCCAATGCATCGCCGATACATCGGCGAAATCGGCGATGCATCGGCCCCGTTGGCGTGGAGATAATCGGGCTCCACGTCGAGCCGCATCGCCGCTACATCGGCGATGCAGCGCGACTCCGATCCCACCTGCTCGGACCCCATCTGGGCCAGAGCCCACCTTCCACATCCCTCCATCTCTTCCCGCCGAGCTGGCGCGCTCGGAGGGCGCCCCGGCTGCCGACAACGCTGGCAAGACGATGCGCACCAGCCGCGAGGGGCCCGTTTCGGACTGAACTTGGTGGCAACAATGCTGGCAATACGGTGTGCACCCAGAGCAAGCTGCCACGATATGATCTCCGTGGCGACTTCGCTTTTCCACTGGAGGCGAGTCACCATGCTCGGTGCGAGCTTGTCAGCCAGCAGCGGCGGCAAGCCTGGCTCAGCCCCCACCCCCGCGGAACGACACCGTCCGCGGCGACGCCTGATTGCCCGGCGGGCCGCGCCCGCTGGGCGGCCACGCATCCGAGGCAGGCAGTGCGTCCTGTGCAGCCGGGGGAAGCCACGCCGAACTCCTCTCGACCGCGAAGAGGAAAAGGAGGCGGAGGAGGACCCAAACCCCTTTCGAGTCATGTAAAATCATGACAGGATCGTTGTTTTCGACATTTGGGGGCCCTCACCAATCCTCGGGACCGTCAAAGAACACTCGGGATGACAAGCCGTCCCCAGGGAATGGGTCTAGAGGAGGAGGAGGAGGAGGAGGAGGAGGAGGAGGAGGAGGAGGAGGAGGAGGACGGGGAGGAGGAGGGGGAGGAGGAGGAAAAAGACTAGGTGGCGGAGAAGGAAGAGAACTGTCCTTAGACGGGCGGTGGGGGTGTCAGCCAGCTCCTGGTCGGTGCGCTCGGGCGGCGAGGGAGGCCCGCGCGCGCTGGCTGGGGGATGAAAAACCAACAAAACAAAAACCCAAACATGCTAGAGCAAGGGGCAGTCACCAAAACGATGCATGCAACATTTTCGGCCGCGCTCGGCAGCCGGGCGGCGGGGCCCCGAGACCGTCAACGACAAATTCCGGAAAGCAATCAAAATATTTGGCCGCGTTCGGCAGTCGGGCACCCTCGCCTGGCCCCGAGACCGTCAACAAACAATTCGGGGCGAAGAACTGGTCGGGAGAAGGGTCGGGGCTGACGACGCTTTTACCAGGGAAGCCATGGTAGCAGACGGGTTATGAGGCCCGCCCCTGGCCCATCACCTTCTCTCAAACATGTCCTCTTCTACTCTTTCCCTCAGCGCGCCCTCCAAGCAGCCAGGTTCGTTTCGGCCCCGGGCCTCGCGCGGGAAGCTCGGGCGCCCGGGCCCATCGGGGGGGCTGCCACGAAAGCTTCGAGGACTGGTTGCCTTCAGCCTTCCGCTGGATCAACCATCTCTCGCGCTCCTAGCTGCTGACCTGCCCCGCCGCCCTGCCGGCTCCAGCCTTTCTTCCCCGCGCCCGCCGCCTACAGTGGCGGGCTCGGGCGGCCGGGGCCCATGGGGCCTACCTGCCGCAAGAACTCGTCAAGGTTCTCCTTGGACGTGATCTTCGTCATCACTTCGCTCTCGTCGCCATCGGCGGCCCCCTCTGGAGCTCCAGCCACGTCTGCTCATGCCTTATCTCGACGTGAATATTGCCAAGGCCTCTCTTCTTCGCGAAAAGCAGGGCGCCCCTGCTATCGCCGGCCAGGGCTGGAAACACATGCCCGCCCCGCTCGCTCAGCGGCGGCGCCAAGCCGAGCGCATCAGCAGCTCCCGACCCTAACGAGTAGAGCTCGCCCTCCGCCGAACGCAGGGGCACGCGGCCCTGGCGCCTTGACCGCGTCAAGAACGCACAGCCGCAGAAATGCAACACAACATCCACTCTTGGAGATACGATCGCCCTTGCCTTCTGCCCAGTTCGCGTCCGTCAAGCACCTGATCGCCTTCTGTCTTGTCGACCGTGAGTTTCGTCTTCGCGTCTCTGGCCCCTGCGAGGTAACTGGCCATCTCGTTCAGTCCACAGCAGAGCCTTCTGTGCATGGGGGGCCGTCGTGCCATTGCTCAGCTGCCCAGCGCTCCCAGTCCGCGTTGCGCGTCGGGTCGATGGCTCCTCAGCCCAGCGCTCCCAGTCCGCGTAGCTTGCCCGCGCAGGTCCTGCAACCACAGCGGCCGCCTGGCTCGAAGTACTCGCCGTCGTCCTTCTTGTTGATGTCATTATTCGTCTCCGGCTGTCAGGGGGGCCCAGCACCCTCCGCTCCGAGCTCCAATGAGACATCGTCGACCACGGAGGTCTTCCAGCCAATGTGGCAGCCGCCCTCGACCTCGGTCACCTGAGCGCCAAGAAAGGTCGCCCCGTTGCCCTCGTCTCAAAGCATGGCCACATCTGCAAGCTGCAGCGTCTCACTCATCCCGGCCAAGACCTTAGCGCCTGACCCACGCGGCACTGAGAGCAGAACATCATGCGCAAGTCGCCCACTATTGGCCTTATGCTTCGCCCTCATGGGAGAGCAGCCGCCGCGTCGCCCCCCCCCCCCCCCCTGCCCGCCAAGCCCACGTACCCCAGCTCGTTGGCACTGTGATCCCCCCATGCCTTGGGCGCCCTTTTCAGTCCAGGGAATGCACGCGAGTTCACCGCGCAAATCCTGCCGGCACTCGTGCTTCCAGCGGTGGCCCCAGGAAGACCCGACCCCTTCGTTAGAGGCCCCTGGTAGAACGCCCCACTGCAATCACCATGCGCCTCTACGCGCCCGCGCGCCTCCACGTTCACCGGCATCCTCTTCGGATGCGGTAAGTATATCGCGTCGCTGCCATGACTTCTTCGCGCCCGTAGATCTGCCACCCGAAACCTCGGGCGGCTCAGCCGCGCCCCCGCTCGCCGCCGGCCTGGCACGCGCTAGGCCACTTGCCCGCCAGGATCTTAGACGTCGCCTCGCCGGTCGAGATCCCCCACGCGAGCTCGTTGTCACCACTGGCGATCTTCTCCAAGACCGTCGCCCTAGCCTCGGTGAAACCACCCCCCGCGGCATGACATCTCGCCGTCAACCGTCGTTTCCACGCGCGCCTTCTGCAGCGCGCCTATGTTTGCCCCCGCCCGCGTCTGCAACGACATCCGCCCCTCGCCGCCGCAGCAGTCGGAATCTCGCTTTGGACCCTTGTCTGCCAGAAGCGCCCCCACCTGCCGCGCCGTCGCCGCCCGCGACGCCGGCGGGATGGCGCCCCCCGGCCTCTGCCGCTCAGCAAGCAACCGCTGCCCGTCTACATCCACGTCGTCGACGGGCGCCGCCGCTGCCGCCGCGGCTGCCCCAGTCCAGGCGAGCCGCACAGGTGGCCCGCTTCCCCCGGCGCCCCAGCCGCGGCCGGCGCCGCGCCCGCTGGATCGATCAGCCAGGGTAACAGCCCCAGGGAAGCGGCTCTCGGATCGATCACTGCGTCGGAGGCCCCCCTCGCGCAACTGGCAAGCGGTTCCCATGAAGGGGGCCCGCGCCATCTTTTCAAACGACCCTGGACACCACCTTCGACGTTCCAACCTCCGTCGCTCGGCTTTCGATCTGCAGACTCCTGCCAGGGTTCCGACCGGGGGCCCGCCGGCCTCGGCGTCGCGCCCCAGTCAGGAATCCCCCAGCGAATTGCTCCAGCAAGTCAATCTGAGCACCAGGTCGTCGGCGCGCCGCTGCTTCCCCGATGGCCGCGATCTGCTTCTGGCACTCGAGCGCGCGGGTATCTCGCGGGGCGCGCGCCGGCGCCCTCGCGATCGCCGCGACCACTGAAGGACCGCGCAGAATACCTAAGCAACCAGGGGGGAACTTCGAGTCGGACACGAGGCGCAGGTCAATGTTCAACATCTTCGTCATCGAAGGCATCAATGCCCAGATCTGCTTCACGACAGTTTGGACGGCCAGCAATGCCGGCCGCTTGGCTGGAGAGTTCCGTCGCCCGCCTCGTCGCCAGAGAAGCGCCTCGCACGCGCCGCCCATCTTCGCCATGGCCCTCGCCGCCGCGATAAAAGGCAACGCTGCGCCCCTCGACTGCAAACCCACCTTTGACTGGCCCATGCCATCAACCAGGTCACGGCCGATGCGATCGCGCAGGCGTTGTCGCGCCCCCTCTGGGCGATCGCTGACCTCCACGCCCCACCCGCTGAAACGACGCCCACTGCCGCGCGAACTCGAAATCATTGGGACCTCCGCCCCCCCAGCCCAGCCGCCATCGATGCCGACCAACGAGGCAATCGCGCCTCTTCCAGCCCCTCTCCTTGCGCGACACGTCGCCGGCATCCGCCCTCGCACAGATATCGCGCCATGTTTCTGCTGGATAGCGCGTCAACTCGCGTCGCTCGATCTCCCGCGCATGGTCCACGAGGCCCCTGCAGTCCCCGAGCTGCCACCTCAGTCTCAGGGCGCCCGCGATGCCCCGGCGCGGCTGCCGGCCCATCGCGCGGCGCATCTCCGAGCACCCCCACTGCTGACCTCGGCCCTGCGCGCCAGCGGTCGTCGAGGCGGTCGCGCCGGTTCAGGCCCTCCAGGCGCCCACAGTGGGTCGCGCGCCCGAACTCGGCGCGCGCCACCGCGGCCAACTCCCTCTCCGCACAACGACGTTGTCAGTCGGTTCGCGCCAACCACTCCAGCGCGCAGTCCGGCGCGCGATCTCACTCAGCATCACCAGTTCTGCCGTCTCGCGACTGATTCGACCGCCCTGCCAGTCGCGCCGCGCCGCCCGATTCGGCGCCCCACTGCGGAACTCCCCCGCGCCCATGACGGACTGCCTCGCGCCCGCCACCTGGAAATCCACGATGGCCCTCGGCGTTGACCGCGCCGCGCGCGGCCGAGGTCTTCGAGCTGCAGACGACCATATGCGGCCGCGAGGTTCGGGCCCTGGTTCGGAACAATCAGAAATCAGAACTGGCGTCGTCCACGCGCGCGTTCCACCGCGCAGCTGCCCGCCAGCATCCACGCGCAGTGCCGGTCACCCTCGCCCCCCGCACCACTGGTCAACAGCTCCTTCGCGGCTGCGAAGACGCGGCCGTTCTCGGCCCCCCCCCCGTCGGGCGGCCGTCGCGCCGCGCCCCCGGCCCCGCCCGGAGAGTTCGCGACCGCTCGGCTTGCCGAAGGCCCCTGTGTCGAGGGCGCCGGGCCCCCAGGTTGAGGACTGACCGTGGACCGAGTGTCGCGTTTGCTGGGCCTCGCTGACTGCACCCTGTCCGCACGCATTTCCTCGCCCCCCCCCCCTCGAGCCCCCATGCGCATGCGCCTCCATCGCGACACCAGCAGCCCCCCTGAGTAGTGACCTCGCCCACCTCAAGTCTTCCGCAACCCCTGCCCTGGCACGCCTGATATACTCCACGCCAGTTCTGAGATCGACCTTGCGCCCATGAATCGTTGACCTCCTTGCCACCAGCGTATCATCTTTGTCCGCGACTGTCGCACCCAATGCCCCCAGTCTGGACGGGACGACCTTGCCGCCGTCGCCCATGCCGTCCTCCTGCTTGCCCTTGTTGCAGGACCCCGTCAACGCATCTGCCTCTATGGCGCCTGGATTTCTGGGCGGTGGCCTAGGCGGTGATGGCACCTTCTGGTCACCGCCGTCGTAGACTGTGGAGGCCTGCGGGCGCTGGATAGACGTCGCCACCAGCTCGCCGTACGTCCTCTCGCTCTACAGATGTGGCACCGCCAAAATGCTCTTCGGAGCCCTCTGGGGAGCCGCTGCAGACATCCCCTGCTGCCGTCTCGTAGCACCTGGCGTCTCGCTCCCGCTCTGAATGATGCTGGTCAATCTCCGCCAGTGCCTGAGGCAACTGCTTCACTTGTAGAACGCGCACCATGATGCCCTTAGCTCGCACCGCCGCTGCTGGCTCTTCTTCTCGGCCCCACGCACGAGCAGATGACTTGGCCACAACCACTAAAGCGGCAATTGTCTTCCTAAGTGC